GAGAGAGAGAGAGAGAGAGAGAGAGAGAGAGAATAGGTGGGTGGTGCTTTGTTGGGCATCACTAACACCACCACCACCACCATAACCCCCCAAACCCCCCAAACCCCCGACCGCCAACCCTTGAAATACCACCCCCCCCACCACACACACACAAAACAATTTTTTTCTGCTAAAGTTTTCTTTGAGGATTCGGGGAGATCTCGGCGAACACAGTCCAACCATGTTTTCAAAAAAAACAAAAAGAAAAAGGTAAAATGACCCACTTTTGGGCCCAACCGGAATTCCGGTTGGACCACCGGGTGTCCAACCGGCCCGGTTGGATCCAGATTTTTTCTACATCGATTATGTTGCTGGCTTACCGGTTGAAAATAAAAATAAAAATAAAAATAAAAATAGAAAGCGTTGAGAAAACAGACACCTGACGCAGATGGTTAACGACAATGTAATCTGGAAATGTTTTGAAATTATTACTAATGTAATGACCCGCCATAACACGGACTGAGAACACTGCTGATTGCTGAGATCTCAGATTCCCGCATTCTGCTGAGTTTTCTAAGTCTGTGTGTGTGCGTGTTTGGTTACCTACGTGCCTGTCTGAGTGCTTGTCGGCATGAATCTGTGTGTGACCCGCAAGGGTACTTGCTTGTTTGGGAGGCCCGGAGGGCCGGTACTTACCTGTGGCCGTGACATTGAGGGTTGCAGCAGGGAAAACAGTCAAGTGGCGGAGCCAGAGGCCCGCGGCACTTACAGCAGCGGAAAAGCACTCAAGTAGCCAGTAGGCCGGTACCGCACCCAGTAGAAGTAGATGTGCCGGGTACTCGAGGCCGAGCAGAAGAAGACAAAGTTGGCAATTTTAGAGGCCCAGTAGCGGTAGGCTAGGCCTAGGCGGGTACCAGTCCATCCAGTCTGAGTCTAGGGCCTGTACGGGCAATATCAGAGTCTGCAATGATGTTTCCCTCTGAAAGGGAGGAGGTACCGGTTGCTTGGGAGGCCGAGCGGCCTGGAAGTCACCGCCCCGAAGGCAGGTAGGCCGCTATATCTTGAGGCTGAGCGAAGAGCCCAGCCTCATTCTTCAGTGTGCAAGTTTGGCGACACGCTGCTGGAGCGCTGGCTACTACAGCGCTGCTGGGAGGAAGAAGCCCGGGAGCTTCCACTTTGGCTATGGTGGAGCTCAACCGGTAGGAGGAGGAGGGAGAAGAGAACCAAGGAGGAGAGTGGCAAGGTACCTACCTGGCTATGGTGGACACCATCTTCATCACCTTGTTAGGTGCTGCATCTGGAAGGCCCCAGTTGGGGTAGTGTCGCATCAAGGAAGCTCGGGACAGAGTCAGGCATGGCGGCTGAATGGGCAGCGGATAGCTGCCTGATGTTGACTTTGGGACCGGAGGGCAGCGACATAGCTGCTTTGGGTTGTCCTTTGGACAGGAGGGTAGAGCCCTCCGTACTCCGCCATAGCCTCGGCCTACATTAAGAGGAAGAGGAAGAGTGGCCATGGCTATGGTGGACCTCATGTTGTGCCTGCAGTAGAAGAGGGATTCGGACATTGATTCTGGTTCAGCCATTCAACATTATTATTGTTATTTCTTGTTTGAATAAGAGAGGAGGAGATAAGGAGGAGGAGATTGGTTGGCGAAGAAGAAGAGCATTATCTTTGGTCTATGCTGGAGTACATCATCTTCTTCTTCTTTCTTTCTTCTTCTTCTTCTTCTTTCCCTCTCTCTCCTCTCAAGTTCATTCATTTCTATTTGCAATTGGACGGCATTGTACTTTCTGATGAATGTATACTTTGAAATTGGCCAGGATCATAACATTCATAATACAGTAATAGTAAATACGATTTCTGGTCTTTCCCACCTGTTGCTCTTTCTCCTTCTTGTCTCCTTCTGTGATATCATTAAAGACTTCTCTCTCTCTCTCTCTCTCTCTCTCTCTCTCTCTCTCTCTCTCTCTCTCTCTCTCTCTCTCTCTCTCTCTCTCTCTCTCTGTGTGTGTGTGTGTGTGTGTGTGTGTGTGTGTGTGTGT